ACTTATCTCGTGCTATTCATACTATTCTATCCTTTGCCATTCTACTAATGTGTTCACTCTACTCCTATTTCCATTTTTTCACTCATTTATTTATGTCTTCTATATTGCATGCTCTTCTTATATTTCCAGCAGACTTCCTGTCCAACAGACTTTTCCCTAATATTCGTCGGAGTATTTTCATCTCTACTGTTTCTAGTAGTCGTCTCGTTTTAGATGTGTCAGGTCTTGTCTCTGTCGTATATGTTAATATAGGTCTAATTGCTGCTTTATAGATTCTTGTTTGTGTGTCTTGTCTTAGATGTTTGTTTTTCCAGATTGTGTCATTAAGAGATCCCGCCGCTTTACTTACTTTTAAGCTTTGTTGTCGTACTTCTTCTTCAACATCTCCATAACTAGTGATATCTATTCCCAAATATCTAAATCTTGCTTCCTGCTTTATTATTTTCCCACCAATTTCGATTTTACATCGTAGTGGGTATTTAGATTTCATACATTTGATTTTTTTACTGATATTATCATTTACTGATATTTTATTTTATGACTTTTGTATTAAAGATGCGTGTTAATCTTTGGAACTCGTCTTCTGTTTCAGCGATTAATGCGACGTCGTCTGCATAACATAATATTGGGATTTCTTTGTTCCCCATTCTGTAACCATGACCTTTACGAAAGCCTTTGTCAGGTCTATAAAGCAATGCTGGTTTATTGTACTCAATGACCTTTTTTGTGATTTGTCTTAGTACAAATACGGCGTCTACGCATGATCTTCTGGATCTGAATCCTTGTTGTTCATCTAATAAAGTTGTTAGTATATTGATTTTGTTGATAAGGACTTTTGTGGTAAGCTTAAGTACGGTGTTCAGTAGATATATACCTCTATAATTATCGGGGTCTTCTTTATTTCCTTTCTTCAACATTGGTATCATTATGCTGTTTCTCCATGAGTCTGGTATCTTGCAGTGCAATATTAGTTTTTGTGCAAGTTTTGTCATCTCTAGAGTTATACTTTCTTCTCTGTGTTTTAGAAGCTCGTTGTTTATTTCGTCTAGTCCTGGTGCCTTTTTATTTTTGAGTGATTTTATGGCTATCGCTATTTCCTGAAAACTGAGTTCTATTTCGTGTCTTAAGTCAGTTACGTTATTGTGTTGATTATTATTTTTCTTTCCTTTAAACTATTCCGTCAGGTATCTTTTCTATTCATTTGCTGGTATGTTATTGTATTCCTTCAATTCTGCTATTTCTTTCCGTTTGTTTCTTATGAATCTCCATATTTGTTTTTGTGTACCGTAGAGATCGCTTTCCATTATTTTTGTAAACTGTTTGCAGTGTTCATTTTTTGTTTTTGTTACCAACTGCTTTGTATTTTAGTATTCTTCTATAGCTGTATTAGAATTCTGGAGTATTTGATGTTTTGTACTTCGTGTAGGACTCTCGTTTCTCTTTACATTACTCTTATTCTTTTCTAAAATTCGAATGATTTCCGAATTGGAAATACCACTGAAACGTCAATAAACGTATTGTTATCTTTAATTGTGGCTTATTCCCAGTTAAATAGTAATTAATTTAAAATGCCATAAGAAAATAGCTTCAGAACAAAATGATGATGATGATAGTTTTATTCTATTCATTGTCGTATTATTTCTGTAGGTCTATATATGATAAATAAATAGTTTTTATTATTATCGTTTTAAGCGAAGAAACAATCCACGACATGAATAAATAAATATTAATTAACAATAGAATTTTTCAAAACTACTGCAGACCGAGGAGTTTTTTCTTAAAACAACTTACAATACCAAAGAACAGTAGACACACTTATAAACTTGCTGAAAATTATGTAAAACATTCAAGATTATCTGCATGAAGATTTGCAATTCGTGCTACAGACATGTATAAATAACCAACATTGGTCCGCCTAAAGGACTGCTGAAAGATGATATGTGATCTTGTGTTTCTAACAGGAACTTCCACCAACAGTCCAAAAACAGTCAATCATACAATTAGTGATTTTAAAAAATTATTCCAGGTCTGCCTGGTCTCTTCGCACTTTTAACGTTGGTAATCAGAATGCCTCTTACAATGAAACAAAATCATTACGCATCAGAATAATCATCAATTTTGGGAATATTTGCTTTATGAGGTGCCGCAGAAAGCTTCTCTGCACTTGCTCAATTCTGTGAATATGACAGGTATAATAGGGACTCCAGACTGGAGAACAATATTCTAATAGGGGTCTAACAAAAATACTATATAGTAATCGAATACTATAGCTATTATACTTAGCCAGCCAATGTATTTCTCTTAATAAATCCAAGTATACATAGAGCTTTAAAAACTATTATGTCAATATGATTGACAAATGAAAGTGTGGAGTTCATAATAACACCAAGATCTCGAATAAATGTGACTTGGGGCAACTGTGAACCCTTTATTTTGTATTTAAAATCAATTTAGTTTAGTTTTTTTTGTAAATATTATGTAGTGACACTTAGAAATATTAAGTTCCAAATCATTATACACCTTACCCCTTAACAATAAATTGTATGGGCCTAGGAACAAAACAAAAACAAATTAGTATTACATAGAAAACAAAACATTAATTTATATCAGTTTTTATAAACTAGAAAAATATGTAGTTAATAAAAGAAATATAGATTAGGTTGGTTAGTGAGATGGATGTGCTTGCATTTTATTTACTAGTATGCCTATTCGTGGCTGAGTTTGAATAAGTGCACAACGCAAGTCACTAGCAGCATCAAGTTTATTCCAAAACTTTGTTCTAATTGCCACAAGTGTTGAAAATGCTTTTTCGCACAAATAGGTGCTTGAAAAAGGCAAAAAACTTCCCGCGATACACTAGGAAACACTTTGAAATATTTTAATTAAAATGAAAGTTTGAACATCATCAACCTGTATGCGTTCACTGCTGGACATAGGTCTCCCTTAGCTCTTTTTATCTGAACCTGACTTCTAAAAAGCATTCGATAAAGTAAATCATTGTTATTTAATCAGTAAATTAGGAGCCATTGGTATAGCTGACAAATGGCTTGATTGGTATGATAATTTTCTTGTGGGTAACACCCAGAGCATTAGGATAAATGGTGTGTTGTCTCAATCTGTTGACGTCCTCTCTGGAGTACCACAGGGATTACATTGTGGTTATCTACTTTTTGTCCTCTTTATTAACGATGTTGAGAGAGTCATTAAGTATTTAAAATTTCCTAACTTTGCTGATGAAAAAAAATTATAAAGTCATTACTTGTCAGTATGATCAAATTCAGCTACAAGAGGATCTCAGCAGATTTAGCATTTGGTGCAAACTAAATGAATTAAAATGGAACATTGATAAGTGTTGTGTTATTACTTTCACAGGAAGCAAACAATTTTAAATTACGATTATAGCATTCATAACACTCAGCTGTCTAAACAGGACGTCGTAAGCATTCAGAGGTCACAGTAAACAGTGCATATAAACAATTAGGGTTTATAACCAGAAACATTTCTCAAGTTTCATGTTTTGTTTTACCAATTCTTTTTGATAGTCTTATTCGCTCCAGACTAGAATATGCAATAGTTGTATGGGGACCTTACTATCAAACATCTATAGACAAGCTTGATCGTGTTTAGCATAAATTTGTTAGACACTATTATTACCGTAGTGCTTTTCATGACATCTCTGTCCCATACAGTTATAGTATGATAGCTGATCACTTGAAAATGGTTTCCATGAATCAGCGAAAAGATTATTTTTGCCTAATATTCCTTTAAAAAATTGGTAATAATTTGATAAATTGCCCTGAACTTTTAAATCGATTAGGTCTTAACTTCATGGAACTAGGCATACTTTGTTATTTCATCTACCATTTTATCAATTTAATTATGAATACTTCAAGCCTCTTACTTATATGGTGAGACTATATAATAGGTACCAAAGTGATCTAGACTTATTTTTCCAGTCCTTAGAACAATTTAAGAATGTGATAACAAGTGTTTGGGAAGTATTTCTGGAACTCTTCAATTAGGCTCTCCAAATGGTTTGATATTTGGATTTTCAAACTTGATCCTTCATAAATGTCCTTGAAACGTGTTTCTTCTGAGATTAACTCTACTTTAGGGAAACTCGAATAATTGCAGAGATTTGCTGATATTTTACGCCACCAAAGTAGCAATTTCTCAATATACATCTTGATCGCATCACGATGAGTAACAGTTACTATACTTGAGTCTCCACCCTGCAGTTTTGGCTTAAAGCTGTTCAACCAGTCAAAGATGTCTGATAAATAAGCCAATATTACTTGGGTAAAATATTTTTTATGCCACGCTTTTGCTGTTCCAAGAAGGTGATTACTTCATATCGAAGGTGAAATAATCTTGCTAACATGTTTCGTTTTGAGAGCCATCGTACTTTTGTATGAAATAGCTGTATTGTGATCACTTCCTAAATCGTCACAAATAGTGTTAAACAGTCGAGTATTCAACGCACTGTTTTTTATGTAATTGACTACTTTAATACACAACTTTAAGACAGCATTCAGTTCATTTGAAAGAGTTTTTGCTGCCAAGGCTTGTCGATATATAACACAATGTATCCCAGTCACATCAGCATTTTTCTCTCTTACTAATTGTAGAAATCCTGAGCGAGAACCAAGCATTTTTTTGACCTCTGACATGTCCTCACGTCCCCTAGTTTGGGAACCCCTGCCTTCCAAAACATAAAAATTCGTTAACTGGTTCTATGACGTCGTTTTCTATAATAAGTAACCAGAGGATTTGGTAAAGATATGTAAAGATGTGTCAATATGGGACATATTTACCAACTATTTTAATATTAAAACTATTATAAGATAATGTTTCTAACAACCTTATTGGTTAATGATTATTTTTGTTCTGAAATAAAAAAATTCTCACATTCGCTTTACAATAGGCGATTTACAATGCTATAAATACTTTTATTTATATTAATTGTATTATATTAGAGTGAAAAGTTAATATTTTTTCAGGAATCGCGCGGAAAGAGGCCGTTCAAGCTATGGGACGGACGACGTAACGTGCGGAAGGGGTTGGTGGTCGGGAGCCTCGAGGAGTTAGTCCTCCGGGGAAGAGATAAGTTAGGCCTGTCGCTTGGCGAGCCCGTCAGACTCGTTCTCGAAAGTGACGGGACGCAAGTTGAGGACGCCGAATATTTTAGAACTTTACCTGCTAATACCATCCTTTTGTTGCTTCGGCCAGGAGAGAGATGGCTGCCTGCAGGTGTAGACGTCATCAGGGCAGGTTAGTAACTCTTGAATTTAATTCCATTAGCTAAGTCAATGAAAATTTCTGTCAAAAAGACGTAGGGAAATAATCACAATTTTACATTTGACTGTGGCACATAAATTTCTCATCAAATCTGAAAAATATACTGCGAATGACGAAAAAGAGGCTGCCTAAAATGTTTGCCATTTTTTAATTTTGACGACTTATACCACAAAGTGATTGTCATTAGATGTTTGTGTAACGTTTAAGAATATGTTCTAAAGTAGTATGCAACCATTTTTTAAATAACAAATGTCAAAAAAGAACTTCTTCCAAAATAATGATTTTATTGAAAAATAAAAAAAATTAACATTGTACCGGGTAGTCCAATAAGCCGATCTCTCGGCTATATATCAGAAACTATTCATGTTATAACTTTAGGAGAAAAAATTCCCCAAGAAAAATCGCTGGAAATAACTTTCAAGTTTCTGGATTAACCGCTAGAGGGCGTAACCTGTGAAAAAACCTTAAAAACCAGTTTTTTGGAAAATATGCCCAATTATACCAAGTGTTAAATAAGTAAACTAGAAAGAGGCCCAAGTTCTGCTCAAAGTTGTTCAAGTACTTTTTTTTATTTTCTCAAATAAAGGGTGGGGGAGGGTGGTAAAGTATTTGTGGATAAATACCTATTACTTTGGTTTGGATTAACCGATTTTAACAAAATTAGTGTCATTAGAAAGAGTGTAGATCAATTAATTTAAATCTACTATAAAATAATTGCATTTAGTTTTAATTGTCGTAGGTAGAGGGTACTTTCGAATAGAAAAAATTAAAATTTGTTTTTCTTCAAAATGTTTAATGGAAACACCTATTTATTATAAATTGTAATGGAACTGGATTAAATTCGTAACACAATGGCGTAAACCGCACGTTAATAGCTTTTGTCGAACTCGAGATATGAATAAAAACGCATAAACATAAGTAAGTATAGTATTGACTCACCCTGTATTATAAATTAAATTAAAGAATAAGTCAGTAGGTACTTTCAATTTTTTTTATAGCAGAAGAATCTTAATGTTGATACCTATTTTGACCATTGTTATTTCATATGATTAAGAATAGTTTTTTTCCAAACCAAGTAGGCAACAACAATGAATTTGAGGGGAGTTCATATTGTTTATTTAATGACAGCAGTCAAAACATTGTTAAGAAGTGTTATATTATAATTCGAATTAAAGATTGCACTTTTTCAATAGATATTAATATTGGTAATATTAGTAATTAATTATCAGTAATAATAGTTCATGATGAGTATATCAATGATGAATGTCACCAAAATGCCGCTATTGCCTCACGTATATATTTTGTAAGATATCCTGATAGGAGACATTATAGCAAAGAAGTATTTGAAAGAAAGGCAAGAAGATTAAGAGAAACTGGTAGTTTTCATCGTCCTTGTTTTAAACGACGTAGTAGAGGTATGACCGAAGATAACTTAATGAATGTCCTTACTTTAATTCAACAGAATTCATAAATAAGTAGTCGGCAAATCTCTACTTCTTTGCCATAATGTCTCCTGTCAGGATATCTTACAGAATATATACGTGAAGCAATAGCGGCATTTTGGTGATATTCGAAATAAACCCCAATCATATCATACAATTCTGCATTTGATATACTCATCACGAATTATTAGTACTGATAATTATTTACTAATATTAAAAATATTAATATCTATTAAAAAAAGTGCAATCTTCAATTCGAATTATAATACATTTAACACTTCTTAACAATGTTTTGACTGCTGTCAATGAATAAACAATATTATGAACTCCCCGTCCTAAAAACTATTTTTAATCATATGAAATAACAATGGTCAAAATAGGTATCAACATAAAGATTCTTCTGCTATAAAAAAATTTGAAAGTACCTACTGACTTAATTTATAATATAGGGTGTGTCAATACTATACTTACTTATGTTTATGCGTTTTATTCATATCTCGAGTTCGACAAAAACCAAAAGCTATTAACATACGGTTTGCGCCATTTTGTTACGAATTTAATCCAGTTCCATTATAATTTACAATATATAAGTGTTTCCATTAAACATTTTGAAGAAAAACAATTTTTAATTTTTTCTATCCGAAAGTACCCTCTACCTACGAAAATTAAAACTAAATACAACTATTTTATATTAGATGTAAATTAATTGATCCACACTCTTTCTAATGACACTAATTTCGTTAAAATCGTTTGATCTAAACCAAAGTTATAGGTATTTATCCACAAATACTTTCCCACCCTCCCCCACCGTTTATTTGAAAAAATAAAAAAAAGTACTTGAACAACTTTGAGCAGAATTTAGGCCTCTTTCTAGTTTACTTATTTAACACTTGGTATAATTGGGCATATTTTCCAAAAAACTGGATTTCAAAGTTTTCTTCACAGGTTACGCCCTCTAGCGGTTAACCCAGAAACCTGAAAGTTATTTCCAGCGATTTCTCTTGGCCACTTTTACTAAGGAATTTTTTCTCCTAAAGTTATAACATGAATAGTTTCGGATATATTTTTTCTGTTTTCTTTATAAAAGTCGTCATTATTAATACTGTGTATTACCACCTCTGATCAAATTCTAGATATCGTTTTGAGGAAAAGTTTAATATTCTTCCAAGAGCGCCAACCGAAGTTGCTCACGATTTATTCGAGCAGGTATTCTGTTTTTTCCTCAATCGGGTTCAAATCTGGACTTTGAGCCGACCAGTTCATTTTTGACACACTGACAGTTTCCAGATATTCCGTTACCATCCTGATTACGTGTATCCCCGCCTTCTCTTGCATAAAAATAAAGTTTTCTCCGACAAACCCAGCAAAAGACATTACATGCTCGTCTAGAATTTCGGTAATGTATCGGTGTGCATTTAACGTTCCTTTATCAATAAATACGAGATCAGTACGGCCCCCGAATGAAATGCCTGCCCAAAACATTACTGAACCTTCTCCAAAAGCAACACGTACTCGTCGAACACAAGCAGCATATCGTTCCCCACGTCTTCTGTATGTTTTGATGCGACCATCTGAGCCATAAAGAATAATCCTGGACTCATCACTAAACAAAACATTTTTCCAATCATCTATCTTCCAATGCTCGTGGTGTCTAGCAAACTGTAGTCGATGTGCTGCTGTTAACAAAGATCCAGTTGCTGGACAGCGAGCCCTTAGACCAAATTTCCTCAACCTTCTTTTCACGGTAAAAGTGCTTAAAATCCACCCGTGTGCATTTTAAAAGCGGTTTTGAATTGATCTAGCCGTAAAGAACAGATTTTGCAAAGAAGTGCGTTGTACAGAAGGGTCTTCTCTGGCCGTTGTGATTTTTTTCGGGCCTGATCCGGTCGTCGTTCATGAGATCCAGTCTCTAGGAATCGTTGGTACATTTTTTTATATTCTATGATAAAATTCCTCTAGTTGTTCACATATGTTTTAATATAATTATTTTTAGCCCTTCTAGACAAGTGTTTTATAGTTGTATTTATGGTGCTCTCTATTTCTTCTTGTTTTGATTTTGATGTGCAGTTTTAAAGTTTTCGTATTTTTTTCTACAAGATTGAGAGTCTCTTCAGTCATCCAATGTTTTGGGATTAGGATTGTTGATGGCTTCAGTAATCCATTTCTTTTCCAAATTTTTTGGAATCAATTTTTGTCTTTTATTTGTGATTGTTTTACTGTATAACTTAATGCAAAATTCTGCTTCTAATATTTTGGTGAAGCACAGTATGCAGCTGGTTTTGTCTTCACGTTGATTATTGAGTTCATCTATCGTTTAATAACAAGAATATAATCTATTTGGTTATTGTATCGTCCTCCAGGCGAAAATCATGTTGATAATTTTCGCGGATAATGTTTAGTCTTTACTATACTACATATCGATGGCAAATTGAAGGAACCGTTCACTTCGTTCATTTCGCTCGCCTAAGCCATGCTCACCTTTCGTTCATTTCAAATGGTCATCAATTCGAGTTTTTCCTAATTTTGCAGATTTCTCAGATATCCCACAGATATCTATCTTCACTTAGTAATTAGTTCATTTTCTGATATATACAATTTACCTGGATTTAGGAGCCCCCTAACATTTCATGTTGCGATGCGGTATTTTTAACGTAATGTTAAGTTTGATCTTCCAGTATCCCATTTCGCAGATATTGCCTGTTAGTCGATCTGGAATTGATATGGCGCTGGTTGCACATTATTTATGAAGTGATTTTAAAACCAAATTTAATGTAAGACTACACTTTTTGTCAAGCTCAAACAATTGACGATATACTACAAAATAAGTTATACAAAGCGCTTTGAAGTTCAGAACTAATTAAACAGTATTAAAGTTAAACAAAGTTATTTAAAAATATTAGTTCCACAATAATTTCTGATGTACCTAGTCCATGTAACTTTCTCTATACGTATTTATATCATTGCCGAAGAAAATATCTTATAAAAAGAGCGAAAATAATGAAACCATAAGTTTAATGAAGCACATATTAACATTAAATGGTGCAATATATACAACCATCGAAGATAAATTAATTTTATTAATGGCCTTGAAACTGGACAAATTTCATTCAATATTAGAGTACTATTTCGAAAAGCTATGAATGTAGACAATGATGTTTTGCCTGCTTTCTGGATTATAAAAAAGTCATTGCTGAAGTATCCATAATTGTAATCAATTTGGTAATTTATGATAACACAGTTTTTAGGACAGAATATTCACCATCGTCATTATCATTATCAGCGTATTTACAGCCTCCTTTACATAGTCGTACTTGAATATATTTTCTAGAGTTCCAGTGAAGAGCTTTGGTGATATTGCGTCTCCTTGTCGGACGCTTGTGGTCTTCTGTGGGAAATTCTGTCTTGGTTGGTTAAAGCTTCTAATGCTGTCTTATGGTATATAGAGTCGAAGGCATTCTCGAAATCTGTGAAGTTTAATGCTAGCGGTATTTCAAATTATTTAGCTCTACTCATTAGTTTTCAAAGTGTTTGGATATGATCTAGGGTACTGAATCCACTTCTGAAACCAGCTTTCTCTCTTGGCTGTGCAACATCTAATGCATTTGTTAATCTATTGTTGACGATCTTTTTGAATATCTTGTATATGATTGATAGTAGACTTATAGGTAAATAGTTTTTGATATCCTCTTTGCTACCTTTCTTATGAATGAGAAGTTTTTTTTATATATTATAATTGTCGGGTATATATTTTGATTTTAAACAGTTCGTAAATATGCCTGCTAAGAATTTCCTGGTTTTTTGTCAGCGTATTTAAGCAGTAAGTTTAAGCGACTCAAAATTATCCAAGTATAAGCTCCAACAACAGACCATACAGACGAAGAAATCGAAATATTTTATGACGATATATCTACTACGCTTAATGATTCTCGTACTCAATTTACAATTGTACACAGAAGAAAAGTCCAAACGGTAGAACAAGGAATAAAATTTACTACATCATACGCTACTACTACATAAAACCTCCAAGAACGATCTTAACGACCTGAATAATTGCATCATAAACGCCTTATGAGAAAGTCACTGAGTGAACTGTTCTAAAAGAAAATCAGATAGTAAAATAACTCCATATACTGAAATGCTGCTAGATCAAAGAAGACAAATGAGAAGCAACGAGAATGCAGACAGCCACACTCTAAGAGAAATGAATAAAACTATTTCATAGGCAATCAATAATAGATTAAAAATTCTACGTAAAAAGCTAACGAATGGGAAATGTGAAATTCATAAATTAAGAAGAGTTCTATGAGGAATTATATGAAAGTAGACGAGAAGGTCAAACAGGGAAACAAACAGCCATATCAAAGAAGATCGTAAATCAAGGTTCCGAACTAATGCCAGAAATAAATGTAGATGAGATTCGACAAGCGTTAAGAAAAATGAAAAATAACAAAGCCCCAAGAGAGGATGGAATTGTAATAGAAGCTATCGTAAATGGAGGAGATGTGCTATTAAATAAATTAAAGAAACTGTTTAATCTATGTCTTCAGTAGACAGAGGTGCCTAAAGAATGGAACAATGCTATAACTATCCTATTACATAAAAGGAGATAGAACGGACCTAGTGAATTATAGACCTATTAGCCTGTTGAATCACATATACAAGCTCTTCACTAGGTTAGTGACATTAAGATTGGAGAGAAAATTAGATTTCTACCAACTGAGAGAGCAGGCAGGATTCCGATCAAATTATGCTACCAATGATCACCTCCATACAGTAAAGACGCTCACTGAAAAACCTATAGAATACAACAAACCTCTTGTCCTCACTTTCATAAATTTTCTTAAACCGTTTGACACGATCAAAATAGACAGCCTTATAGAAGCAATGAATGACTGCAAGATTGACCATAGGTATAGTGAACTTATTTACAATATTTACAAAAATGCCACTATGAATGTTAAGATACACGAGAAAACCGGACCAATAAAAATAAAACGTGGAATAAGGCAAGGAGATATATTGTCACCGAAATTATTCATAACGGCATTAGAGTATGCCTTTAAGATGGTCAATTGGGACCACAAAGGAGTAACAATAGACGGCGAAAAACTTAACCATCTCCGTTTCGCAGATGACATTGTCCTTATCACAGATGATTTAGGAGGAGCCACAGATATGTTAAATGAATTGGATATTACATGTTCGAAGGTGGGTCTTGCCCAAAACTAAGTTTATGACAAATATTGTCCCAATAACCATTTAACTATGCAAAATAAAGTGGTAGAACTGGTGGAAAAATATATGTATTTGGGTCATAAAATAAGAGTTAGCAGGAATGACCAAACATGCGAAATTCAAAAACGAATTGCTTTAGCGTGGGCAGCCTTTGACAAACTGCAAGATACACTTAGGGCCAACATACCAATCAGCCCCAAAGAAAAGTATTTGACCAATGCATATTACCGGTCATGACCTATGGGGTGGAAACTATTACTCTAACCAAGACTACGGCTTCGAAATTGAGAGTGGCACAGAAACGAATGAAACGATCTATGCTGGGAGTGACGTTGTGGGACCGAATAAAAAACGAAGATCTGCGAAGAAAGACGAGTATTGCTGATGTTGTGGAACCCAAAGTAAAACTTAAATGGAATTGGGCAGATTATCTAGCGAGAATGCATGACTCACGACGGACAAGTAAAATTACACATTGGAGGCCAAGAGCAGACAATTGTAGTTTAGCAGACATCTCACACGAAAATCATGGTGAATAATATGGTGATATGTTATAAGATTTAAGATGAAAGTACTTCTTCACTGCTTGAAAGAGGGACAACTTTGTCCAAGTAATCGAACCAGCCAACTGAATTTTGTCGGGATGGTCATTTATTCTTATAAATTCTGGTACAAAACTAAGTCAAGGAAGTATAGACATTCTTAACTCACAATAATGGTTAAAACTTAAATCATAAAAACTTTGCTATCATACATTACCAAACCGATTACAGTTATGCTAGGAAATTGCATTTGATCATTTTTATCTTTTGTTAAAAACTAGAATTTAAAAAATTGTAGATGTTGCTGTTGGATTTTTTACAAATTTAATTATCTTTTTTGTTAGTAGCAATCTCCGCCATCCCAAAGATAGTTTGCGAAACCATCCACGCACTCGACTTGCACGATGAGACCCCCTCGTGGAAGATTATGGATAACAAGGGGCGGGTTACCGTCGTTTTGCACTGGGACCAGCGTTCAGGTCCCTCCAGGATTTCGTCATCGGAGGCACCTTCACCTTCTCCCGGTAAGTTTTCTCCTAGTAAACGACCATCGCTTGTGATCCAAACCGGATCAGGAGGAAAGAAGGAGACTGCAATCAACGACGTGTATACACCCGCTCTCGCCCAACCCCAACCGCGTTATGCTAGCCCTCAGATCACTGTGATAAACCACGATGATGTTAAACCGGTTCATAGGCTGTCCAAGCAAGGTAGTTCCTTGGAGAGCGCTACGATTCACATTCACACTCCGGAATGCGCTCATCACGCTCACATGCCACGAGCAGGAAGTCCTCAAAGTAACGGGGCGATCGAATGTGATTTCCACTGTTGCGCTTTACACGAAGAGGGTCGCAAAATCGCCGTTCATAAATCGGTGGCGACTTCTCCTATACAAGATACGCAGCAGACATCTCCACAGCCCCCTTCCAGACATGTGCGTTTTTTAGACGTTGAAGGTGGCGGTCGTAGCGGGCAGTCCGAGCACGAGAGTTCCGAAAGCGAAACCGAGAACACCGTGATGGAGGACGAGGCCGTCACCTCTGAAAAGTTCCTGCTGCTAATCGACCAGCTGAGCGTCGATCAGAAACGACATTTGAGTATTAAAGATATAGGGATCATTCTAGAGAGACTCAGCTCCAAAATTCTAGACGTAGAAAGATTAGACCGAGAAAGCGAAAGTGAAGACTGTTATAATTGGACGATCAAAGCGACTATTCGAGGAGATGTTCTTAGAGAATTGGGAGTCATCTATAACGGTAACTACTACGCCATTTCGGAACATCCAGGGTACAAGGAAGAGAACGAAGGCGTTGTAGAAGAAGCTGAAGAAGAAGAGGAGGAGGAGGATCGGCTGTGAATCGTTAAGCTACTGACTGCCATTTGTCAAAATGCACAAAAATGCAGACTATAGTAATAATACCGCAGATATGCCGCATACACAACATATCCGATGTGACATGTTCGTATCTGTAAATGACTTTGTAGAAAAAATTTTTGAAGGTGACTGGTTGCGCGCGATCGTGTTGTGTATACCACCGTCGATACCACAAAAATACTCATTTACCGTAAATTAACAAAAATGGACTGAAAGACAATCGCAACGATAGTACGATTAATTCGTCAATGAATTTACTAGTACATTTAAAATAATAATTTTCTAAACTAATATGTAACTGAATAATGATTACTTCTCCCACTTATACTATTTTTTATGACATTATCATCACCAATAATCGATGTAGTTGTTTGTATATTGTTTATTGTCAAAAACTATAATAAATAAATTATATTTTGGCCTATTACATTAGTAAAAACTTCAGTAAATTCTTAAATTGTTATTTATTGATCTTTTAATTATATATTTGTTGACAAAAATAATTGTAAACATTAGTGTTAGATTCGAAGAAATATCATCTAAGAATATTTTAAAATATAAGACGAATTCCAAGTATAACTACTTTAAAAGGTTTCATAGATTCAAAAGATTTGTTTTAAAAGTTACCCAAGTATCCTTTAATATACCCTGAGACTATTTGAAGCACTTAATATCGTGCACTTAATATCCAGTGCACGAGAGAAAGCGAAGTACAAACGATAACAAATGAACTCATGGATAACAAAAACAAGAAAGAAAAATATTTGTCTCGCTTAGGCTCACACACCTGCAACTTTTTAAGATACCATACATGATAATTTACACATTCTGAAAGACATGGATGTCACATATAAAATTCATTCGATCAGGTGATTAACTTCAATCTATATTTCATTCAATTCAGTAAGTTACTGTCACTTAGTGGTGCTAATATGATTGCTGGTACACTGGTACAAAATAGTTAAAAAATTTATCCTTTATGTCTATCCTATTTTAAAAATTTACTTCTTTAAAGGAACTTCTTTCCTTTGTTGTTGAGTGAACCATTAAAGCACAAACATTGTTTTACTATCTATTTATGGCCAAGAAATTCTTAAGGTACTATTCCGACAACAACTGCAGACGGCAGACAGCAACTGCAGACAGCAGTTGAAGTTGCCGCTGTGGCAGACGTCATTGTTTAGCAGTATTAATTTATATGAGACTGATTCCGACATCTGCTTGCAACTGCTGCCCGGCAGAACATCAGTTTCTGTGCCACCCTACGGCAGAGGACACACTACTGTCGAGTACTGTCGTTAGTGCTATTATGAAGTTGGACGACATGTAAGTATTGACAAACGAAGAAAGTGATTATTTTATTGATTTACTGTCTAAATATTCCTCTTTTTTGGCTGCAAAAATGCGAATTATAAAAATTTAAATTTCCAAGAAAATAGGTAAAGAAATAATAATAAGACTTACTCACAATCAATTTAATTTAACAATCTGACGACCGGTTTCGCTTTCTACAATTTGCAAAGCATCTTCAGGTCGAGATACAAAGTTAAACTAATGCTGCAATAAAATAAACCCAATTAGGGTGGTGTCTCATAAAGATAAAATAAACAAATAAATTAGTTCATACAAATTATAGTAATTATGCCAATATTACATGTCTGTGGTTTTCAAAATGAATAATTTGAATATATAAAAGGTATTAACAGACAAGGTAAGACCCACAATTGGTATAAAGTAGCAATCTTATATTGTAATAAATTAATAAATGAGCAAATAAATAAAACAAAACAAACATTACTTACATGCCGGTACTCTATTAATTGATGGATGGTAGGTCATGGTTGCAAAAATCATGTATTGTTGATTGGAGAACTTTAATGTGCTATTGCAGTTGTTTTGACAATAAACGGGAAGTTCTTGAGGAGAACAGATTTGATCCAATGAATTAGAGATAGGTATATTGTGGTTGTTTGTCAGATGAAAGTGATGTTCTTTACTATTGTATTATTTAAATTATTTACACTTATATCAGAGATATATTTTTTGGAATGTGTGTTATTTATTGAGTATTTATGTAATGAAGGAGACAGTTTTATGACAATGAATAAGAGTAGCTGTACCGATTGTGTGGTTGTGCACAATCTTTGAATAATCATCAATATTCACCCAATTACTACTTTATTTAATTATTAATTATTACAATTTAAATTAAATATTTTAAGAAATGTTCATACACCATAATAGATAGCTCAGACCGACAATTATTTCAAATAAAAAATTTTCAGGCAATTTGTAAATTTGTTATACCTTTCAATTACAAGTACACTTGTTTGTATTTACTAAATAATCATTTTAATTTGTTCTGAAATATTTAGACTAAAATTGGTTAGTTATAATAGATGATGTATTTCAATTATTCACATTGTTACCTTAAAAAAATTTTTGAATTTGAAACTTATTAATTAAAATTGTTAAAGTATGCCAATATTAAACACATCAATTTACTTTTGATTTCTAAATTAAAACAAATTTTGATACATTCATTAATATCAACATACTCCATAATACTGAATAACTAAACTTACAGTATTTAGTAATAGAAGAAGAACTGTCACACTTCAACCTACATATGTAAAATTTACCTCTTAAATCTAATAGATTAAATATGAAAAAACTCATTTCTTCCAACAGTGAGATGTAGTGCTTACAGTTTCTTCCATCCCCAAGTTTAAGTTTTAAATTCAATGTTTGTCCCGTCATTTAGTGTTTCTGTTCCTGTTAATGTGTGTTTAATTTGTCCCTGATCGTCTTAATTTATAATAATTTTATATACTTTTTATATACCTTTTACATAGTTGACTTTACAATAATTTATTAATTTTGCCAATAGACTTGATAATTACAAGTCAAAATAATTGCACAACCACACAATCGGTACAGCTACTCTTATTCATTGTCATAAAACTGTCTCCTTCATTACATAAATACTCAATAAATAACACACATTCCAAAAAATATATCTCTGATATAAGTGTAAATAATTTAAATAATACAATAGTAAAGAACATCACTTTCATCTGACAAACAACCACAATATACCTATCTCTAATTCATTGGATCAAATCTGTTCTCCTCAAGAACTTCCCGTTTATTGTCAAAACAACTGCAATAGCACATTAAAGTTCTCCAATCAACAATACATGATTTTTGCAACCATGACCTACCATCCATCAATTAATAGAGTACCGGCATGTAAGTAATGTTTGTTTTGTTTTATTTATTTGCTCATTTATTAATTTATTACAATATAAGATTGCTACTTTATACCAATTGTGGGTCTTACCTTGTCTGTTAATACCTTTTATATATTCAAATTATTCATTTTGAAAACCACAGACATGTAATATTGGCATAATTACTATAATTTGTATGAACTAATTTATTTGTTTATTTTATCTTTATGAGACACCACCCTAATTGGGTTTATTTTATTGCAGCATTAGTTTAACTTTGTATCTCGACCTGAAGATGCTTTGCAAATTGTAGAAAGCGAAACCGGGCGTCAGATTGTTAAATTAAATTGATTGTGAGTAAGTCTTATTATTATTTCTTTACCTATTTGATATGGACTCACACAAGCAACACATTCATGATTCCAAGAAAATGTTTGGAAGAAGTATAATAGACGTTATCTTTTTCTTCTTGTAGTAAAACTTGCAGCATTTCGTTATCCATGTAACTGTCTGACTGTTTTATACTGCCACGTAATTGAAGTAACTGGTACTGACTTCAGAATCAATATGACAGTAATTTCTTCTAGAAGGCAACTGCAACTGCCGTCTGCAGTTACTGTCTGCTGTCTACAGACGGCAAATTGTCGGAATGGTATCTATATTCACATTTACAAAAGTGGCCAAAGAATCCATAGTAATTCCCTATAAACCATTACAATTTTTGGCGCGAAACGAACTTTATATAGAATGCCAAATGAAACATGAGATGTCCAATCGATTTTTATATTTAAATTGGATTAAAGATTGTTTAAATTGTTTCTAAAATGCCCGTTAAAAAACTGACTAAAGCTTATTTCTTTTGCGAGATAGGTTAGGATTTATGATTTAATTACACAATGTTCTACCATTATATACCACTATTACTTTTAAATACTTAATACAAAATATGGATAATTTGTATAGAATATCTAAAGCCGTGCTTGAGCTATTCTTTTAACAGGTTAAGTGCAATGGCAGGCCAACACGGACTCACACATAAAAGTTATAGACGGGCCACGTGATGCCGACGCGGACTCACGCGCTAGGTTATTAGAAAATGCTGTGTAGCTCGACAGCGGCTTCTCGAGCGCATTATACTACACGGAGACATTTCAAGCCCGGCCAGATGGTCTCTAAAGCAGACTTGGCCTATGCTTCTGAAACGTCAACGAGTAGCATGGCCCATAACATTTATAAGTAACAATTGCGTAGTTATTTATTCTTAGTAAGAACACGTTTTAGGCAAAATAAGCTTAATTGTCATAAAACAAAATGTCACGTTTTGTCGCGGAATTACAAAAACAGCCAAGTACTTGCCTTCCTTCCTCTTCTACCATTTTTGCGTAACACGTTGTACATCGTCTTCTGTCTACACGACCAACATAACTAAGTTTGAGACTATTTTCCATAATGACTAGTGTGACAAAAAAATCTCCTAATAGGCTCTGAATTACTTCTTCCTTGAATTTGGTAATCGTCATGCTTTCATTGGCAATGCTTTGATGCACGACATAAGCATTTATAAGTGCTGTGTCAGTCAACCGCTCCATCGATAATTTTCTTTACCAGTTTATTTTTTTACGTAATGGCGAATTATAACTTTTCGTTTGATCTGATATATCAGTGAACCTTTTATATTTCTTATATTCAATGACATTCTTTGGCTTTACAACATCACCGCGTGTGCCTTCTGCATTCTCACCATTTCGT